AGGTGCAATGTAGAAGGCTGAAGAAGATTAACGGTCTCTTTCCTCAATATGACCTATTCAGAGTTCTCCAAATGGGATATCTTATTTTACTTATTTGCGGGATACTGGGTGTTGTTACTTAAGGGTGTTGCTAAATCCTTGGTCTATATCTGGTACTGACTTTTCAGTTGCGGATCATATCTTTCAAGTTGCATTATAATTACTGTTTCCAACAAAACACACACCCTGCAAATCAAATTTCAAACTCTTACAGTTTATGGTGATGCAAATTCTCTTGGGTTTCAATAATGGTGACAATGTCAGAGAGGCTTTTGTGTGACATTTTTAAAGACCATTATATAGTGTTAAAGGACGCATGCAAAAATGGTGGCACTTCAGTGAGTTTTAGCTATGAGGATTGATCTTAGGTGAACTACAGAGAAGATCCATTTTTTCCTTGTCCTTTTGGTTGTTCTTTTGAATCTCAGTTTTATATAGATTTGTGTCCTATTTTACTCTAAATATAATTCAAAAGATGTCTAGCAGTTGATAACCAGGCATACATTAAAAGATAGGAAGCATGAAGTAGTGTGAATGTACATATTCATAAGAGCTGTCTAATGTTTTTTTCCCTTCAGTAGACTAAATCATGCTGTATATTCCTATCCAACTGAAATATTATAAATCACTTTTTAATATCTTTTTATCTGAACAAGAAAAAAATCATTTGTATTACAGACATGTAAATTTAACTTAAAACTACAAAACCTAGTTTGAGGCTTGATACTGTGGCCATAAATCATATACAATAACACTGTAAATGAGATAACTGTAACATTATATTCTCTGGGCAAGGTTAATAGATTCAGTTCAAGTCTAGCAAGAAATTGTAGCTGACGTTTTCCCATTTCTTTCCGAAAAGCCTTTATAAATCCTCAACTTCTAAATTGGACTGGATTAGGTCCCAGTGGAGAAAATCCTAGATTTAGTGTTTTTAATTTCCTAAGTTACTGAGTGAGAACCAACTTTATAAGTATAGTCAAATATGGCTTGGGGATTTTAACAGTTAGGTTATTTTTGTTATTCCCATCCAATTCCAATAATAAAACTAATCATATTAACAAAGGAGAAATGATGGTGAAAGTAATAGTAGCCTGAAGTTTTGAAAAGCCTGTCAATTTGGTTAACCTGGATGAACAGTATGAAGAAATATAAATAAGCCTTTCTTGGGTGACTAAACAAAACCCAGCAGGGCTACTGCTTTCATTTCAACTCACAGCTCTTTATCATGGTAACAGAATATTTATATTCTGCTGCATCCTGCTTCTTGCTGCTGTCAGACTCTCTCCTCTGAATTGGCACAATGGGTGTCCTTAATTTTTTTCTGCTGTGGGAAAGAGTGTCTGTACCAGAGGCCAATAAGCTCAGCTCCCTAATGTAACCTGTGGATGGAGAATTTTCTGAATGCCACATAGTTATTGGACCTTGGGTTTAATATCTTCAAGGCTCTGTTTTCTGCAGGTAGAAACTGAATGACCACCAAGATGGGAAGATTGTTGTGCAGTAGAATTCCCCACAACTTGCTGTTTCTTTTCTTTTCCATTTGCCAGAACACTGATCTACTTTCTTATCCCCAGATGCCAAGATTATTGAAATGACCTCATACTTCCCAAAAGTTCTGTAGATTTCATTTTATCCCATGCATTCTTGTTGGATTACTCTTCTTAGAATTCAGTTTCATCATTTCATTCTGCCACCCAAGTTTTACTTGGCCTCTCCACCCTTCAAAGACCATATGCATGCTTTTCTGTCTTTTCTGGCCTTCTCACAGAGAACTAAAATTATGCAAATTTTTGTTGCCTGTTTTCTATTTGCAGGGAAATTCTTTTCCTGTCTTTGCTTTTCTCCTCTGCTTGGATGTCCACAAAATCCAAGTAAAGCCACACACTATGCCATGCAGAGGACATATGATTAACATATGTCTCAAAACCTGGATGAAAATTTACCTGATCCCTGAGACTTGCCTTTGCTAATTCACTGTTCATTGACTTTCTCTTATTGTGAGTTTCCTATAGACTTACAGCAATACTATATATCACATTTAATTTCCTTTAGGTTGTATTCTGGTTATTTCTTATTACTTGTATTTTCTCAATAAGATTCCAAGTTCTTTAAGGACATAATACTTTTTTCTACTTTTATGTTCCCTGCAGATTCAGTGAAGTTCAAGATGTATAGTAACTGAGAGCTGAATTTAAACTAATTTTTAAAGCAGATTGTAAGCCCCCTTCTTAAAGACTTGGCTGTTCTGGACATATTTCAACTAGAATATCTTTTCCCATTTTTCTTATAATTAGGATGTGTGTTAATATAATTCTTTTATTTGCCATTTTGCTCTTTGATTAAATTACTGCTAAAACTGAATGAAACTCATATTATTCTTTTAGGGTGATTTGAGAATCAGAGTGGTGTTATCTTCAGACATCTTTGCCTCTATAACAAGCAGTAATTATCTCTCGGAGATGTACCTCCAGCTCTGTGCTTAAGGAAGTGCGCATTTTCTCAGTCTTTTGTACTGATCATAGTGTTGTGTGTTCTCTATATTTGCCAGCCCAAATACTGCCCAGTTTACATTCACAGCTCCTAAGGGTAGAGATTATTTAGTCATAATTTTCTTAGTTTAGCAATGCAAACAACACATATAATAAATGTGGGTATTTAATGTTCAAATCTCTGATGCAGAGGTTCCTATATTGTAATTAGATGTAACACATGCCCTGAGGCTCACGGTGCTTACTTTCCTAAAACGATTGGCCAGGGATGAAGGATAATATTAACATCTGCCTCGTGTATAAAGTGTTACCATTTATCTTTTAAATATCAGGCTCATAAAGTAAGGAGAATAATGGTCTGATAACACAAATTACATCATACTGTTGAAAATTATAACTGCTCTTAGGCTTTATAATTTTCAAATCTTAATTATAGACACAATAACTTGTCCAAATGATAAACAGATCTTCCATAATTGGCAGAAACATCTATTAGGTTCTGTTTTACAATTTTATTATTTGTTAGAATGAATTCACAGAAAGGGTGGCTTTATATAAGTTCTTTGATGACAATGTGCATATGGCATCAACTGATCAGTAAGTTTAATAGCCTCAATTAAACTTAACCTCAATTAAAAGTAACTTGCACTGTGGTTTTACTTAAGTCATTAATCGATTATTGAATTTTTCACTTTCAACAATTTTTTGTCATTAACATTAATTGTATCCCTCCTTCAATAGCTACTCATCTTTAAGTCTAGTCAGAAACCTGTGGAGGCTTTATGGGCACAAAGAAATGAAATACACAATCCTGTTCACATACTGAATCCAGATACATGTACGTACAGGTGAAAGGCTAAATAACATGTACTCCCATAGGACAATATGACTAAATTAGTAGTAGCATAAGTTAATAAGCAGTATAAGTAAATATTATGAAGTGATAGGAGATTATAACTGGGCTGGGTTTTCTGGAGAAATAAATTTCAGATAAGAGCTCTGCTATTTAGTACTTAGTACATACTTGAAATTCATGGTTTTAACATTTTCAGTTTTTATTATTTTCAGAAGACTCCCTAAAGGCCCATGTTAAGTGGCTTTATACTTTTGCTGATGAAAGGTTCTGTATTGTGTAGCACATGAAGTTATTGTAGGGAGTATGACAAACTGTAATGCTCTTAGCATCCATTTTTGTTTTAACTTAGCTTTCTGATTTCCTATGACATTGGTCAGTTTGGGATTCAAGAAGACCTTGGATGTCTTGGTCTTCTTGAATATCAAGTCTTCTTTTTTCTGTGTCTCTGACTGCATTTTACACTTTTTTTTTTTTTAAGGGACAGAGTCTTGCACTGTTGCCCAGGCTGGAGTGTAGTGGCATGATCATAGATCACTGCAGCCTTGAATTTCTGGACTCAAGTGATCCTGCTGCCTCAGTTTCCAGAGTAGCCAGGACCACAAGTGTACACCATCACACCTGGCTAAATTATTCTATTTTATTTGTAGAAATGGGGTCTTGGTATGTTGCCTAGTCTGGTCTTGAACTTCTCCCGCTTCTGTCTCCAAAGTGCTAGGATTACAGGTGTGAGCCACTGTTCCTGGGCTGTTTTACACAGTCTTTTAACTTTTCAGTTGCAGTGAATAGTATATCACATGTACTAAATATCAATTTGAATGTAAGCATGGATGATGGACAGATGCCTATTGGTTCATGTAGGAGTGCAATGGAAAACAAAGTTGAAAAATCAGCGAAGTCACAATGGAGATGACCTTACAGTCTAGAAAAAACTTCTTCCTCCCTATACTGTAGGAATTTATTTAAAATGCAGTACTGATAATAACAATTATCATTTTATAACTGATTATATGTGGGAGTTTTTCATAAAATTATTATATATAGTTGTCTTTAAAAGGTATGATTGCTTTACATGAAAATATGGAAACCATGAAAGACAACTGTGGCAATGGTATAAAGTGGATATGTCGGGATATATATTGCTTACTTTGTTAGCCAAAGTAAATAAAGGTAATATTTAGTCATTTTTGAGCAAGCAAATAACACAGAAAGGCTTTCATTGATAAATGAATAGTGTCCATGCCTCCCACCCTCTTCCTTCACCCCCACTCCTCATAAGACACTTTTGTTTGCTGTTTCAGTTTTTATTTCTTTTTGGATATATAAACATATATCTATGTTTATAGATATATTATTGATTGATCAATGATAGTGTTTATTGACTTCTTGTTATTTAAAATGAGTATTTTACTTTCCTGTTCTTTCATTTATTTTTGTATATAGATATTTTTTCTATTGTTTGTTATCTATCATAATAAATTTATGTCTAAAATCCTATTGCTTTACCTCCTTCTATTAGCGCTCATTTTTTTCTCTCTCAATTTTCTCTCTCCACTTTAATCCTTCCAGTATTATCAAGGCTAAAAATAGATGTTGCTCTTCAATGTGAGGAAGAGGTCACATTGTAAGGTCAAGTAAAATATGTAGATACAAAGCTCTATATTTCATGTTTATTTGGGAAGAAAGAATTGCAATTTTGGGCATATGCACAGACTGGATAGTCTTCACTATGTTCAAAGAACAAAGAGAAGAGTGGAGGTTTTATAAAAAGGAGAAATGTTATGTACATTTCAAATGCACTGCTCTTTGAGGAAGTTCATTGGCATAAGTAAAATTTTGAGAGTTGGCAAGCTTTGATTGATAAGTGACAGCAGTGAGCAAAACTAGCCTAAGAGTTGGAACAGGTTGTTTCAGGAGCCTTAGATTAAACTGGTTTCATGTTATGCATGTGGTTTCAGCAGCCAAGCTGGCAGAGAATTACATTCCTGGAACAATGCTATGTGGTCTGAGTGATTTTCCCCCTGGCTTCTTGACTTCATATTAGTTGGGTATGATAAGAATGACCCCATTCATACGAACAATTTTCACAGATTAAATTTAAATCCCTCTCCTATTGATTACCATAAGCAAGCTAAAGCTTGAAAACAAGTTTGTGGAACATTTTATTACCATGAAAGTGTTCACCACTGATGAAATTAGAAATGTGCTAGTATTATATTATGTCGTCTACAATTCTAACATTTTGGCCACCCACTGGAAAAAGCAATTCTTGATATCCAATTAATTGGGTTCTGCTTTCTTACACATAATTGCTCAAATTTGTGATATGTTTTAGTTTTTTAAATATAAATAGTCATTTTTTTGAATGTGTTTTAGTTTCTACTGACTATTTAAATTTTCTCTTACTGAGAGAATCAACATGTTTTTACCCTCAGATAACTAATGCTGTTGCTTCTAGCATATTTTTGGTTCTATATATGGCATAGTTATCTCATTCTTTAAAATGTAAAGTCTTCTCAGAGCTCCCTGATTGCTGCTTCTAATTTTGATGGATTGTTTTGTAGGCCCACATTAGAACTCCTATCTTGAACATTCTTAGCTGTATGGCTCTGTACAGTGATATGTAAAATTTTGAAATTCATCTGTTTCTGGCTGATATCCACCATTGTTCATGTTATTCATTTGTATTATTTTACTTTTTGCCTGTTTGTATCTTTGTATTTAATGTGGCTTTTGTATAGGTAGTATAAGGATAGATACTGTTTTTTTTATGAAATCTGATGACTTCTGCTTTTTAATTGAGGGGTTTAGACCATTTACACTTAGTGTGATTATTGAGCTGTCTGGCTTTAAATCTATCTTATTGTTTGTTTTCTTATTTGTCTGCTCTTTGCTCATTTCTTCTCCCTTATTTTTGTCTCCTTTGAACAATTTTTTTTTATTTCATTTTTCTCTTGGCTTATTAGCTATATACATTTGTACTATGTGATTGCTGTAGGGTTTATATATCTTTAATCACAGTGTAAACTCAAGGAATATTATACCAATTCATGAATAATGTAGAAACCTAGCATGTTTCCATTTCATTTCTCCTGTCCTGTGTGCAACTGTTGTCATACATTTTACTTCCACATATGCTGTAAATTCAACAATATAATACCTTGCTTTATTTTTGCTTTAAATGGTCAAACAATTTTAAAGAGGTTTACATAATAAGAAAACAAGCATTTTGTAATTACCCACATAGTTACATTTCTGGTGCTCTTCATACTTTTGTGCAGATTCAGATTTTTTTCTGGTAGTATTTTTCTTCTGCCTCACAAACTTTCTTTAATATTCCTTATTATTTTTATTTTTTATTTTTTTTGAGATGGAGTTTCACTCTTGTTACCCAGGCTGGAGTGCAATGGCGCGATCTCGGCTCACCGCAACCTCCGCCTCCTGGGTTCAGGCAATTCTCCTGCCTCAGCCTCCTGAGTAGCTGGGATTACAGGCACGCGCCACCATGCCCAGCTAATTTTCCTTATTTTATAGATATGCTGATAACAATTTTCTTTATCTTTCAAATGCCTGAAACATTATTTCTTTTGCATGACTTTGAATAATATTTTCATTTGGTATAGTACTCCAGGTTGATTGTATTTTCCTGTTAAATAATTTAGGAAAATCCACTGTCTTCCTGCTTGCATTTTTCTACATAGAAGTATGTTGTCATTTCTATCTTTGTTCTATATATATATATCATAGGTCTACCCTCTTTTTCCTTTCCTTCCCACAGGTGCATTACAAATTTACTCTTTACTCCTGCTTTTAAGCAATTTGATTGTAATATACTTTGGTATATATATATTTTTTTCATGCTCTTGTGCTTGGTATTTGTTTGGCTTTTTAGACACAGCAGCTTATTATTTCACCAAATTTGAAAATATTTCAGTCATCATCTTTCCAGTTGCACATATATCAGTTCCTTTGATATTATCTCAAAATTTCTTATAATATGCTCATTTTTTTCCAGTTTCCTTTCTCTGTATTTTATTTTGAATGGCTTCCATTACTATATTTTTAAGATTGGTAATCTTTTCTTTTGTAATGATTAATCTACTATGAATGCTGTGCAGTATCCATCTCACATATTAATGTGTCTTCCATGTTTCTTCTTGACATGCACATGCTTTTCTCTACAGTCTTAAAAAAAGAATATACTTATAATAGTTATTTAAAATATTATGTTTCTAATTCTATATGTCTGTCATTTCTGGATCTGTTTCTATTGATTGATTTTCTTATTATAGGTTGCATTTTCATGCTTCTTTGCATGCCTGGTAATATTTTACTCTTGCTCAGATTACCAACGATATCTAAATCTTACTATTGTTGTATGACTCGAGATAATGTTAGGAAATTGAAAATTTTCTAATTCATGTTACTCTTTTCTACAAATTTATAGTTATTTGCCTACATTTTATTTTATTATTTGCAAAACAATTTTTTTCCTATTGTTTAAAGCAAATTTCTCCACTTACACCTTATGTAATCAGAGACAGTTTAACACTGTCTGTTCCTCACTTTTGAAATTGTTTTAAGTTCACCTTTCTAAAAGTCCTTTCTTATTAGCACATCAACATAATCAAATATTTCTCATTTATGTATCCATATTTCCCTACAGTTCTTCTTTTCCCTGCCCAGATTCCTGAAACAGATTAAGACATTACTTCAGGCTTACTCTTAAAATAGTTTTATTATATATTATCTCCTGACTGTTTACTACAATGGTTCATGTTCTTCCGTGTTTTATAATTTTTAGAGGATACTCTTCTTCAGTGAAGAATGTTTTCATTATGAGTCACTAAGTTATGGACGTATCTTCAGAGGGTAGATTTGCCTTTGTCCTGGGAATTTATACACTTTTGAGAAGCAAAAAGTATTTTCATAGTAATGTCTCATTTGGGTGTCTGGAATTATACGATAGTTTGTATGTGGAGCTCTCCTTTGCATACATTGCAGGTTTGGGATTATAATTATGAGTCACTTTTTAAAAACTTGCTGTCCAGTAAGTTTTTACTTGTTCTGTTTTTATTATTGGTTGTACTGGATTCATGCAGAAAGCTCTGTTCATAATAATAACCTCATTATGCATGAGCCTTATCTCACGTTCTCCAGCAGGCATTAAAGCACCAGCCTCTACTTTAAATCTTGATTTCCAATATCCCTGTGGGCCACTTGTATTTAGTATACATTCTTCTGTCTAATTTTGAATTTCTGCTTCAATCTTGCCATATAAAGATTTAGAAAATTTGGCTATATTTTAAAATTTGTTATTCAATTATTTTGTGTTATTTATTTCAAAAAAGGGGGAAATTTCTGCACTAGTTCTGTATGGCATACTGAATTCTCAGTTCCTTGCAAAATGTAGGTAGCCTGAACATTGCTATGACTTCTGTTTTTATTACTATGACACATATATCTACAGACAAAAAGCACATGCTTTCTTTTTCCAGATTGGCAACTAATTCCTTTTTGGCTTATGTACTCTTCCTCACTTTAAACACTTAAAAGTATTTTTTTTTTTCCATTCTGTCTTATCATTGACTCCTCATCTTAAGACTACCAATTAATTTCCCAAGACCTATTTTTGACTTTCTTTTCTGCCACCCATGGATAATACTATGGCTTTAGGCTATAATCCTATGATTTAAAAAGTTGTATTACCAAAGATCTCTCTTCTAAGAGTCAGAATAAATTTATCTAACTACCGGATATCTACTAGATATCTACACTTCATCTAAGATGTCAAAACCAAATTTATCACCTTATCTCCATGTGTCTACCCTGACAAATCAGCCCACCACTTCCTCCCCACTGAATACACATGATTCTTCTTATCAGCCTTTTAATCCCAGTAATTGGCCCTCCATTTATATATTTACTGAAGTCACTTCTGTGGGAATCATCCTCCTCACTTCCCTCTGCTGCCTTCACACCCAACCAATAAATGTGTCAGGTCATTTCCTCTTCCTTACAGCTCTGTAGTCCATCTGTTTCTCTCCATGTCCGTTCATATTACTTAAGAACAAGTCATCTTACTTCTTACCTTGATTTATTGTAAGATTCTTATTACCTGTCTCAAGACTTCCAGTTTGCTACTTCATGATAAAGTAAATTAATACTTGTAGAAGATATATCCAGTCACAATCAATCTTCTGCTTAAAATTTCTTACACATACAGTTACCTAAGCCTGGGTTATCTTTTCTGTCGCCTTCTCTTCACCTGAAGAACTCTCATTTACCACGAAACACCCATATTACAACTCATCCTGGAGGCCTTCGTAGACCCCCAACACTGACCGTTTCTCTTTACGCATGTTCCCATCACTATACTTACTACACCATAGTTTACCTGTAGCCTAAAATAAACAAAAAGCTCTTTGAATGCACCAGTATATATCCAGTGGCATATACAGGGTCCTGCACATAGTAGGCACTTAGTAAATATTCTTTATATTTTTTAAGAAGAATATTTTCTTGGTCTATATCATGGTATCCAAAACCAATGTAATCTCTACTCCAAATTTTATTAAAAACAATATAAACAATATAAATTAAAATATAAATTACAGAATTTAT